TAGGGACGGTTAGAATCTTTAGTTCTTTAAAAAGTTGTTTGCAAGAATGTTTTACGGAATTAAAAGTCATAATTCTAAGTATTCTTTTTTGAAGTTTAAAAAGTTGATACGAATCAGATGTGACGCCCCAAAGCTCTATTCCATACTGTAAAATTGACGAAAATAAAGCGTGATAAATCATTAGCCTAGTGTTTAAATCAACAACATTTCTTAAGACCAACATTTGAAAACATACTGAATTTAACTTTTTAGAGGTGTTATGAATGTGATTCTTCCAATTCAATAAACTATCTACATCAATTCCTAAAAATTTAACTGTGTTGCTAAGATTTATTTTTTCATTATCAAAATAAACAAAGCCTTCAAGATCGTCCCTACACTGTGCAGTTTGAAATTTTACTATTTGTGTTTTAATGTGGTTCATTTTTAAACCGTTTACTTTAAACCATTTTGACAGATCTTGAAGAGCTTGATTCAAGGCTAAACTTAGTTCATGACTGTCTTTTGATTTAATGATGGCTGTCGTATCGTCAGCATATAACAACAAACTAGGTTTAACATTCTTAGGTAGATCATTTATGTACATCAAAAACAATAACGGTCCTAATATAGAGCCCTGAGGCACCCCCATAACAATCTTTTCCCATTCAGAAGCATACTTAATGTTTTCTTTAATAATAACTGTTCTTTGAAAGCGATCGTTTAAATATGATTTCAACCACAAAATAACTGATTCTTAGAATCTATAAGAGGATAATTTATCAAGAAGAATTTGATGGTGTACACTATCAAAGGCTTTGGATAGATCACAGAACACACCAATAGTGCTCTGTGACCCATCCAAGCTCTGTGTTATTGAATTTACAAAATGAGCCACAGTGGAAGTGGTACTTCGATTTTTCCTAAAACCAAACTGTTCATCAGCTAATAAGTTATTAGATTCCAGAAAATAGGACATTTGATTGAATGCAATTTTTTCAAATATCTTTGAAAAAGAAGGCAGGACAGAAACAGGTCGGTAGTTATCTGAATTACTCTTAGAACCTTTTTTAAATAATGGCTTCACCTCTGCATACTTCAAATGATTAGGGAAAGTGCTATTGGTTAAAGTCTGATTGATGATTATGGACAATGGCTCAGCAACAAACTTAATTACTTTTTTTATCATAGTAGTTGAAATCCCATCCCAACCAGCCGTTTTTTTATCGCTTAGTGACTTGACTATTTTGATAACTTGCTGATGTGTAACTAAACTATAGTTAAAAATTGGAATATCAGGCCTATGTGTGATTGATTTTTTTACTAGTTCCATTGCCTTACTCTCTGAAAAATTTATTTCTCCCCAAAGGTATTTCATTTTTTTTTTACAACTGGCCAGCCAAATATATGTTGCAAAAGGGATTAATTATGCAGTTTGTGAAGGACTCACACCTTATTGCTCAATGCAAATGGGGCCAATCGACTTCTGAGTCGATTTTTTGGTGTTTTATTTAAAATTGAGTTTTATTGAATTTAAATGGAAGCCTATCCTCGTAACCCTTCTAACTCCCTAGCCTTCGACCGAAACAGTGCTTTGTTGCTCTTGTTAAATTACTACACAATCAAAAACTCTCACCTTTATCAATATATTACTCTGTAGCTCAATTTAAAGAACCTATTAGTAATAGTAAATGCAATATTACGGCATATTAAAAAATCTTCTTCTTGTTACAAATATTCAAAATGTGGAGTTTTAGTGCAAATTGTTTTCATATAAATCAGTAATTGATGAATACCTCTTAATACTATTTACCCTACAGTTGATCTAATATATTTAACAATTAAAAATAACGAGGTGTTAGCCCGTCCTACGTACGGGAGTAGTCAGTTAAAACTGTGTAGGCCTAAAATTCAGAACAGCTAGTTACACGTATAAAGACAAATTTTATTGCAGCCTACAGTAGAAAGAGTAATTATCAATTGAGAAGTGTATAGGCCTAGTCAATGATATCACCTTCCGTCGCATACCTGCCTCTTCCATAATCAATATTACCACAATACAATTTACTCATACTATACACAATTTCCAGTAGGTCTGAATTGAAACTCCCTAAAATAAAACGAAAACATCCAATAAAATTCACAGTACACATAATTATAACGTTGGTGTCCTGACATCAATAAACGAATTGTCCACACACATCCTTCATATGTCAACTAGCTGGCCCGACAGACGTCGTCCTGTCCTATTGTGGTTTTAAGTCACATGCTTGTTCGTTTTCAAGTTGAGCTTGTTTGCATGGCTCAATCACTGGTCAAGTTCTCAATCAATCTTGTTGAAGTTCGTTCGCTACGCTAACTCGCCTCCAGGCTGAAGTTTGTTCGCCACGCTCACTCAGCTTTTGGTTGCAAGTTAGCTGTTCTCATAAATTAAAAAAAAATATAGTGCTGCACCCTGTTGGTAAGCCTATTAACTTTTTAATGCTATTGAACATCACAGAATCAGATAGTTTAGTTGAACCAGCTGTTAAGATTCTTTAATTCCATTTAAATATGAGTACTCATGGGAAACTCCAGAGCCACTGGGGCGGAGCCCTTTTGACGGATCTGCACCAAACTTCACACAAACCATCCTTGAATAATGCTTAATAATGCTTGAAAGTTTCATTACAATCTGTTGAGCGGTTTCGGAGTCCATAAAGGACAAACATACAAACATACATTGGATTTTATATATATAGATTTCACTGCATCAATTGCTAAATAAATAAGTGTAAACAAAGAAAAGTAAACACAACAACATATTTGTAGTATATTTGATGATTTTGTATTCAATATATTTGTAAAACAGCGTTTCTTGTAGGAAACCAAAGTTGTATAAAATGTAAATGTGTGTTAGTGTGTGTGTACATCACACCATATCACGCCACGTCTGTGACGTCATATCAGGTGATATTTAATAAATTCCCATTGGCTGCCGCGACCACGCTATACCCGTGTATCTAACCACATGTCAGTCCGTCCTAGTCCTGCACCCGTACACCTTTATCCTGGTCCGTGCAGCCCGTGAAGATAGCAACTTCATAAGTATTCGCATGGCTCAATCACGTCCTGGTTTAAGTTTGTTCTCTAAGCTCACTCACCTTTAGGTTGGAGCTCGTTCGCTGCGCTCACTTGCCTTCAGGTTAGCTCGTTCGCTACGCTAACTCGCCTCCAGGTTGAAGTTCGTTCGCTACGCTCACTCACCTTTTGGTTGCAAATTAGCTGTTGTCATAAATAAAAAAAAATAATAGAGCTGCACCCTGTTGGTAATCCTTGTAACTTTAATGCTATTGAACATCATAGAACAGAACCAACTCGTTTAATTGAAACAGCTGTTAAGATTCATTAATTCCTTTTAAATATGTAAAATCATAAGGTTAACATGGGAAACTCCAGAGCCACTGGGGCGGAGCCCGAAAGCCCGATCAGAATAAAAACTACTTAGTTTTCCTATTTAATGCCCAAGAATCGGTGTACCGAATTTCAGCCTCCTAGGTAAATGGGAAGTGGGAGAATTAGTGATGAGTGAGTGAGTGAGTCAGTGAGGGCTTTGCCTTTTATATATTTAGAAGATGTATATTTAAATAATCTGTCATCCTCTTATCGAAGGATTGAACGTATCAATGATTAGCATTACACATGGGACCAAAAATTTACAATAAATTACCCGCTGGGATTAAAAACATTGCCTCATTCTCTAAATTTAAACTATCTTTAAAAAATTTCCTTTTGGAGAGGGCATTTTACTCGTTAGAGGAATATCTGGAAAATGAGTATATTTGAAAGATATTGCTTCTCCCATAGGTTTGTAGCTTATTACATGCTTTATTTCTTTTGTAAGCTATTTTATTTTAAAATGTAGTATAGTATTAGTATTAGACTTTGTGACAAATCACCTGTCAAGAGAATTGATGTAATGTGATGATGTTTAATAAATAAAAAATAAATAAAATACACATAGTATAAATAAGTCAACCCTTAGTATGTCTTTTAATTTGATCCAAATGCTGAATTTGTGTTACAAACGCTGAATGTTTACAGCTGTTATGTTAAGCAAATTATGTTATACCAAAAGCTAGTTTAGAATCTTAGCGTCGGCTGCTAGACTTTTCAAAAATTAAAAGTCAATTTCTAAATAACTGGGACCCTAAACTAAAATTATGGCTTCGACATTCCCTAGTTCTCAAAATTATCTTTCTTTCAACACAAAAATCATGAAAATCCGTCGAGTGGTTGATTCAGAATCGTGAAATGAAAAAAACCTGTTACGTTTTAATATTATAGATTATCTATGATTTCAAGAACATGTGACTACATAGACCTACTGAAACATGATTGCTATGGATAAAACATGTCAATTAATTTATGTTGTGCAGATTGGTGTGAGCTAGGAATACAGATAATACATTTAATACAAAACATTTACTTAAACATTTACATTTACATTACATTTACTTAAAACAAATATATAAAACTACACTTCGGGCCTAGCACAAACGAAACGGTTGAATTTCGACGTTTCCTGTACGATGCCGGTCGGACGGACTCAGTTTAATTTCTCAATTCGATTTTTTTTATGAGCGATTTCTGCGAATTCTAATAAAGCACTCCGGTATATTCAGACAAATTGCTTTCGAATTTGAAACGCACGTACTGATATTCCCGAAAAGTGAATTTTCCGCAAATTGATTTTTGAGATTTAACTGTTTACCGGCCCTCGTATGTTAATATCCTTCCGTGTTCACCTGATTGGCCACTGTTGTTCATTGCGTCGGCGCGCGTTTTGAACATTTGAATTCAAATCGGTACACCGCTCTATTATAGAATACATTTTTTAGTGTTGATTTACAAAATCATTGAATTATCTGTGATTAAGATGCTAGGTTAGTTAATATTAGTTATCTAAAAAAAATATTTATATCAGGCACTTTGTGTTATAAAACTGTGTGTAAAAATTGAACAATATATTTGTTTTACAGACAGAGATGCTGCTTCATTCTGTGCTGTTGGTGTGGTTTACATTTTTTGTTGGGTGCAAGTTCAAAATGCTAGCATCAGCTACCGATGAACCATTGCAAGGTAAGTCAACCCATTTCCGTTATTGGTTTTTAATAGAATTTTACTCTTTATTTTACTCTCTTTTTTTACTAGGATCATAGACTGGCTAAAACGGGTGACTCTTTCAAAATTAACTCAATTCGCTTTTTTAATAAACTACCTGACAGTGCAAAATTTGTTGATTACACTATTTTTAAAAATAGAATTTATAATTGGCTAATTCAAAATCCTTTCTACAGCATAAGTGACTTTATCAAGTGTAACTAGATCAATGGAATAAATGATTCTTATTCTTATTCTTTATTAATAAAATTTGTATAAACAGAGAAAAAAATTAAACTAGTTATTGGTCACACTGCTTATCTTCCCTCAATAGTGTGGTGGCTTAGAGACAATATCAGCAATGATCGTGACCTGATGGATTAAAGCTGCAGCTTTTGTACATTCTTCCATACCCTAAATACAGTCCTGTTGTGTGAGTTGAGCAACTAACATCATTTATGGATGGAGGTGTAGGTCCTCATGGAGGGTACGAGGAAAAGTAAGATTAGACAACGCCGCTATTATTAGAAAATTCCAAACTAAAAATGTCATTTGAGCCTAACCCCACTCCTCTAGCACTATCCGGTAACTCAACCAAGCAGTGCCATGTCTACTATGTGCCACCATGTCTACTACTGACAGTGCTATTATTAGAAAATTCCAAACTAAAAGTGTCATTTGAGCCTAACCCCACTCCTCAAGCACTATCCGGTAACTCAACCAAGCAGTGCCATGTCTACTATGTGCCACCATGTCTACTACTGACAGTGCTATTATTAGAAAATTCCAAACTAAAAGTGTCATTTGAGCCTAACCCCACTCCTCTAGCACTATCCGGTATTCCAAACTAAAAGTGTCATTTGAGCCTAACCCCACTCCTCTAGCACTATCCGGTATTCCAAACTAAAAGTGTCATTTGAGCCTAACCCCACTCCTCTAGCACTATCCGGTATTCCAAACTAAAAGTGTCATTTGAGCCTAACCCCACTCCTCTAGCACTATCTGGTATTCCAAACTAAAAGTGTCATTTGAGCCTAACCCCACTCCTCTAGCACTATCCAGTATTCCAAACTAAAAGTGTCATTTGAGCCTAACCCCACTCCTCTAGCACTATCTGGTATTCCAAACTAAAAGTGTCATTAGAGCCTAACCCCACTCCTCTAGCACTATCCGGTAACTCAACCAAGCAGTGCCATGTCTACTATGTGCCACCATGTCTACTACTGACAGTGCTATTATTAGAAAATTCCAAACTAAAAGTGTCATTTGAGCCTAACCCCACTCCTCTAGCACTATCCGGTAACTCAACCAAGCAGTGCCATGTCTACTATGTGCCACCATGTCTACTACTGACAGTGCTATTATTAGAAAATTCCAAACTAAAAGTGTCATTTGAGCCTAACCCCACTCCTCTAGCACTATCCGGTAACTCAACCAAGCAGTGCCATGTCTACTATGTGCCACCATGTCTACTACTGACAGTGCTATTATTAGAAAATTCCAAACTAAAAGTGTCATTTGAGCCTAACCCCACTCCTCTAGCACTATCCGGTATTCCAAACTAAAAGTGTCATTTGAGCCTAACCCCACTCCTCTAGCACTATCTGGTATTCCAAACTAAAAGTGTCATTTGAGCCTAACCCCACTCCTCTAGCACTATCTGGTATTCCAAACTAAAAGTGTCATTTGAGCCTAACCCCACTCCTCTAGCACTACCCAGTATTCCAAACGAGCCTAGCCCCACTCCTCTAGCACAGCCCCACTACTTATAGTGCCATCTTAAAAGTAGGGATACTTCCCTGTCCCACACTGTAAAATCAAAATTTATCGACACTAGCGTTCAGTGTTACCAACATGAGCATGAAAAACAAGCTTCAGATTTTTCAATGAGATGTGAAGTCTACTTGTGTTGGTTAGTCTATGGTATTGGTTAATCACTCAAGATACTAAGATTTTGAATAATTTTTATGATAAAATTTTGATTTAGATGATTTTATGATATTGATGTATTGTTTGTGTAGGATGTGTAAATCACCCTCCTTCATCATGTCCTGTAGTAGACGAAGAAACAATCTGCAAATGCCAAAGAGTTGAAGGCTCAACTGTTGTGTGTTGTAATATTGACTCTGAGTACAAGTACAAAGAGAGCTTGGCATGTGTTTGTAAGTGTATTTATATAAAGTGTATTTTAAACTCAAATTAAACCCGATTTTAACTCGACAATTCGAACCCAAAAAACACCAACAGCTAGTTTTATCTAAAAATATGTTCTAAAATTGTTCTCATATTCAAAATTTGCTGCTTGATTTTAATTATTTCCTTTTTAGTATGATTTAGTATTGAATATGAAAAGTTGACTTTTAGTACCTATTCAAGCTGTTCATATTTGACATTTTTTAATTCTACATTCAACAGTTTATTTTATTTATCAAAACCGATGCGCAATGAAGTGAATATACATATTTAAGTGAATATATATATTTGACTTACTTGACTTAATCCCTTTGACTCCTGAAGCATAGGGCCTCCATGGGCGCCCACAGGGGGGTGCACTTGCACTCCCCTTGCAAAAAAATTAGGAAATTTAATATTGGTGATGGTCGGATCCGGATATCAGACTACCGGATCCGATCTAGAACCGGCACCCAATGGGATCCAAAAAATTCCAGATCTTTCTATTGGTGGATCCGGTTTTGATGGATCCGATTTTTCCAGATTTGTTTACTAACACTAAGCTGTCTGTATCCATGTACAATTGTACAAGACCGATTTTTTTACTAACACAAAGCTGTCTGTATCTATGTACAAGACTATCTGTGACTGTGTACAAGAAGACTCGGAATCCATAACGTTCAAATATACAAACTTCCTCTTTTATAAATATAAGATATAGGCCTATATAATATTTTATGGGGTAAAAGTTTTTCCCAGTTTTGACCCTAAAAACACAAAACTTTGCAATTTATTTCCAAACCCTTTTGTAGAGCTTTAAAAATAAATAATTTAGTATACCGTTTGGTTTTACGGTTTTATGGGGTAAACAATTTTTTTTTCTCGTTTTTGACCCCCCCCCCCCAAAACACAAAATTTTCCAATCTAGGCCTTTTTAAAGAGCTTAAAAAACAAATAATTCAGTATATCAAAGTGTTTTTGTACGGTTATTAGTTACGGAGAAAATTAAAAAAAATGTGATTTTAAAATCCTCATGTTATTCTTGTGGAGATTATTGTAAAATGTAGTTTGCTTGCTAATGGACATATTTTGATCAAACATGGCAAATTTATTTATTTTATAATAAGCTACTAAAATTTTACTAAAAGCACACTTTATTAGTTTCCCTGTAGCAGCAAACCTAGGTACTCGTTAAACCTAATGTTATTTAAATAGAATTGAAAATCAATTCAGGCAAATGGAAATTTGCTTAGATGGCAGGTTTGCTGCGGCGGGAGTATTATATTATAAACAAGTTATAATAATTATAAATAGTGTACATGTTGCTCGAAATCGAGCAATTGCAAAGAAGTAAAGTAGTTATTTAAAAACAAATAACTTATTTAAAAACGAATAAAAGTCATAATTTCCGATGAGTTTAAAATACTGTACTCAACTCATAGATTACGTAGGCTACCTAACAGGGAAATATAATCAACATTTCTTGTAAATATTTATAATTTTTCAAAAACTGATCTGGTTGTTTAGTGTATTCTATAAATTAATGTTTCCCACTTATAGCCGCATTAGGTTGTTCATGTTGATCTTCGTCAATAATAATGAAGTCTGCATGGTACTACCCATTGTCGCCAGTACGTTTACAAATTTCATTCATTTTTTTATAGCGATTACATTTTGTTTACATTACTTAAGAACTGCCTGATTTTCTGCATAACCACTCTGTCTCAATGAGCGATCAGACATGCCAAGAGCAGCAGCTTGTCTACGCGCCGGGCGATGCGGGCTCGTTAGCACAGCTTGTCGCACTCGCTCCACGTTCTCCGGCGTCCTCACTGGCCTTGGACGGCCTGTAGGCCTACGTTTTGCAGTTGATCCTGTGATCTAAAGGTATCCACCCACAATTTGATGGTGTTTCGGGATGGGATAAGTTCCCCACGAGCCACATTAAAATGCCTACGAAACTTACGTTGCGTACCAACAACAGAATCGCCATTTTTAAAAAACGCCTCAACGGCAAACGTGCGATGTATACTGGTCCACTGCTCCATGGCGACTCAAATGGGGTCACTTGGCCTTGAGAATGAGCCGCTCCCCACCACCCCCCTCCACTCGGCTGCCGGACTGTACTCGCTTGAAAACCGTCAGATATTTCTGCCGCTCCCTGTATTTCCCTGAAATAATGCGGAATTGAAAGGCCTAATGTTGTTCAGATGGTTTTTTGTTTCCCTTAAATGTGAATAATAAAGTGAATAATGTGAATCCTTCAATGAAAGTTTTATTAAGGTTTCTTGGATGTAGTCATATTATTTTAAAATCACTTGACTTTTATGAAAACATATATTTAATGTCCTTGCCGTACCAGTTTAATTCAGCCTTGGAGGGTTTTCCTTTGCCAATCATCATCAAGTTAAGTCCGTGTTTCCTACAAAATAGTAGCACTTCGGCTAACATCCTTGTTCATTGTTTGTGGGAATCTTCATATTGTAGGTATTCTTCATTATATAGGATGATAACGATAGTAAATGTTTTTAAAAAATCTCTTTCAACGATTTCTCAAGAAATACAGTACCCTGTCAATTTTTTTTTTCTTATTTGTTCAAATAAATTAAATTGCCCAGGCTTTCTCGATTTTTTACATTGTATATAAGAATGTTAATTAAAATAGTAAATATTTAATTTCAACAAAATCAGTAAATGTATAGTACCCATTACGTTAAATTGAAATAGTTGTTTACGCAACGATTGCGTAAAGACTCGTAGAAGTTTGTAAGGCACTCGCCAAGGCTCGTACCTTAAATTTTCTACTCGTGTCGTTAACACTATTTACGCGAGTTGCGTACACTACTTTACCTACGACGGTGTTTTAATTACTAAAAATCAATTACAAAAAAAAAGAGAGGTTACGTTTTTGTTTATAACCTCTCATTGCACTGACAGTCATGCAACGAAACATTGTATCAAACACTAATTGCACCAATCAACAATTAAATTGGCCTGAACAGCTGATTAGTTGAATTTCGAATCATTACAATTTTTCTTCTCCTCTCTCAATCCTTGAACCTTATTGGTCTGTTACCCGTGTTGTTATGAGTAAATAATGCTGTTATGAAAGTAAACAATGCTGTTATGAGATACTTTTCAATTCTAAGAACTGTACTGAAATAGCTAAGTACTTTAAATAACGGCCGTAGGGAAAATAAATAACAGCAATTAAATTATACAGCTGATGAAAATGTAAACAATTATGTTCTTCATAAGAATAACATGGAAACTTTCAAAGCCACTGGGGCAGAGCCCAAGGGACGTTTTCAAAAATGTAAGGCCAGTTTTCAAATCTACGCGACACACTCTTTCCAATGAGATGCCAATGGATAAAATCGGATAGGAAATGGCGGAGGAGTTCAACCGAAAAACTTTGTGTTCGCGTATTAATTATATAGATTGTCTATTTTTATTCTGTAAATGTATATGACATGGTGGAGTGATTAACTGTATTAGAAAATATATGTAAAAGCAAAATATTTCGACCATACATACCGATCCTCTGGCCTGAGAAGAGAAGAGAAAGAGAATGCCAGAATTTAAAGGACGCTTTGTAGAATGTTTTATACATCTAATACCCTCGTCACAGCAAACCTGCAGAGTAAGCGAATTTCCATTTGCCTGATTTGATTTTCAGTTATATCTATTCAAATAACATTAGGTTTAATGAGTACCTAGGTTTGCTGCCTACAGGGAGGGTAATAAAAAGTGTGTTTTTTAGTAAAATATTAATAGCTTAGTATAAAATAAATAGATTTGCCAAGTTTGATCCAAATATATGCATCAAAAAGCAAACTACAAAATTTTACAATACTCTCCATAAGAATAACATGGGAATTTTAGAATCAAATTTTTTTAAATTTTCTCCGTGACTAATAAACGTAAAAAAATATTATGATTTACTGATTATTTGTTTTTTAAGCTCTTTAAAAAGGTCTAGAGATAAATTGGAAAATGTTGTGTTTTGGGGGTCAAAAATGAGAAAAAACAATTTTTACCCCATAAGACCTTAAAACCAAACGGTATACTAAATTATTTGGTTTTTTTTCAACTCTTCAAAATGGTTTGGAGAAAATTTGGGAAATATTATGTTTTGAGGGTCAAAAACAAGAAAAACCAATTTTTACCCCATAAATCCCCCCATAAAACCCCGTTCCTATGGTCCGATCATGCTGGTTCAGGAACTCGTTAGAATAAACGTAGATTTACACTTTTGTACCAAATTTCATCAAAATCGGATGATTTTTGCTCGAGTTATCGTGCTAACAGACATACACACATATATATATGTATGAATTTGAACGGATGGTGTTTTTGCCTTCTAGGGACATCAAAATGAAAAAGTAAATTGGTCCCGGGTCCAAGTCTTACCATGAGACCTACGGTAATAGCTTATTCCCTATATGGGAAATTCGCTAAAACCTATTGAAAACTCAGATTGATATTTTTTTTGGTAATCGAAGACGTTAATTGGAAGAACTCATAGTTTTTTTTTAACATTCATCACAACGTATATTTTTACTTGATCCTGTAGGTCGTTGTAAGCTAATCAAAAGATTGGTTATAACTTTCGTTTTGCTAGGTGAGGGTGGTAACAGTACCTCGACAATAACATAAGCACATGCTTGCGTCCCTATTACAATCTGAGCAGTAGCGTCGACTGCCGAGCCAGCATAATGACAGTGGTAGTACCATTCATAATGCGTACTGCTAGACAACATCCCTACAGCCTTCTCCCGTATTTAAGGCCTCGATGCGTAGTGTGAAAAAATAGATTAATTAAACAAATTAAAAACTTAAAAATGATAATGCTTTATTAGCCAGAAATTTTGAAAATCGATTTGCAAAATAAGTTACGTTATGGCTACATATTTTTATTTCTAGATATTAAACAAAATGTTTTCCCCTTCAGCCGTGTACCTCCTGGCAGCTTGCGCCCATAGGCCTGGGCATATTAAGAAATCCGGCCCTGAACACAACCAATGTCCTTTTCCATGTCCATGTTTTTTTCTTGGACTTTCCACTTTCCTGCTTCCAGCCGGGTTCAACTTAAATTTGTTTACTGTTAACTTAAATAATTACGGTATATATTTTCCTTAAAAAATAATTCAGCCTCTGTAGTTTCCAAAATATTTAATATCAGAAAGCTGACTGTGTTAGTAAAATGCATATTTGTTCAAAGTCTAAACACAGAACTACTCACACTGTAGGCATTTAAACTCTTACAAAATTGCATGTTCGACACTGAAATCTTTAAATCCATCTTCTTTCAGCTCAGAAAGTTGATACAACAGGAAAACCTCCCCAGGCTCCAGTTACTGCTCTACATCTTTTAAATTGTTCCATAGATAAGTTGGATGCTACCGAGATGTCCCGTCATTTTCAGGTAATTTGACAGACAATAAATAGCATGATTAGACGTTAAACAGTGTGACTCACTACAGAGTCTAGAGTGTATTTATGTTTTGTTTGTTACTTAAAATAATATTGTCCTACACAGCAATATCTTTCTTAGGCTAGGGAGTTTAAAAATGCCCATGAAAATGCTGTTGAAAGAAGACAGTCCACTAAGAAGAAAGGAAAAAAGCCAATTTTTACACTTTATAACCCATTTCCGCACTTTACCCTCACTCATTGCATTAGGGACATACCCTTCATTTTGACGATGAATGTCAATATCGGAAATGATTCTTCTAATTAAAAAAAAGTATCATTGACCTTACCTCGGGCACAGCAGGAGATTTGATCTTATAAAGTTTAAAAAACACACAGCAAAGCGTACACGTCAGCTACAGAGCTGAAATTTGTGTCATTCCATTCACAAATGATTCCGTAAATGGCGATTAGCCTCATGGCGGCATACAAACCGGCCGCCAAAACAAAAATCAGTTGTCCGAGTTTCATTTGTCCGAGTTTTGATAAATAACTAATAACATTTAGATAAATCAACTGTCCAAGTTTTCATTTGTCCGAGTTTATTAAATTATTTTTAAAAATATCGACATATCAAGTTTTTAACTGTCCGAGTAGAGTCAAAATCAAAAATGTGACACCGCGCGCCGTGACTGGCGTCTCAGGCTCCTGGTCAGAAGCCGATGTAAACCTCTTCTGTGAAGAATTTGGGCATTGTGCTAGAGCACCTCACGTCGACCTAAGAAAAATAGTAAAACTAATTTTATAATTTTTTTATTATAAAATTATTTTTTATCATAAGACTAATTTTAAAATTTGTAATTATAAAATTAAACTGTCATCACCTAACACAATCAACCAAACTTGCTGATAATATAAAATACCCCCGCCGCAGCAAACCTCAGACTAAGCAAATTTAAACTTGTCGGATTACATTTTTACAAAAATATTTCCATAAATAAGACATATTTATTCCCAATGTAAATAACATTAGATTTAACGAGTGCTTAGGTTTGCTACTACGGGGAAGGTAAAAAGTGTTTTTTGACCATACAGTAGTATGAAATAAATAAATTTTCAAAATGTTTATCAACATATATCCATAAACAAGTCAACTACAACAGTTTTTATTTTCTCCATAAGAATAACATGGGAGTTTTTAAATTACACATTTTTTAATTTTCTCCGTATTCGTTAGGCATAAAACAGCGCTTCAATATGCTAAATTATTTCTTTTTTAAGCTCTTCAAAATGGTTTAGAAATAAGAATGTTTTGTTTTAGGGTAAAAAATGGGAAAACCCCACTTTTATCCCCATAAAACCCCCCATAAACCCCCGTTTCCATGGTTGGATCATGCTGGTTCGCAAACTCGTTCGAATAAATGTAACTTTACACGTTTATACCAAATTTTCATCAAAATTGGATCATTTTCGCTCGAGTTGTTGTGCTAACGTACACATATATATATATATATACAATATATATGAATTAGAACGGATGGTATTTTTGGCCTCTGGGGACCTCAAAACGATAAAAAATCGGTCTTGGGTCCAGGTCTTACCATGGGACCTACGGTAAAAGCTTGTTCCTTATATGGGAAATTCGCTAAAAGATATAAGATAAAATCAAATGAGGTTTACTTATAATTTTTAATTATAAAATTAATTTGAAGATTGTTTATTATAAAATTAAACTGTCATAACCTAACCTAACCAACCAAACTTGCTGATAATAAAAAAAAAGATATAATATAATTTTTCTTAAGTCGACGTAAGGGGCTCTCGCACAATGCCCGACTTCTTCTCAGAAGAGGTTTACATCGGCTTCTGACCAGGAGCCTAAAACGCCAGTCTCGGCTCGTGGTATCACATTATTGATGTTGACTCTACTCGGACAGTTGAAAACTCGGACACTTGATTTTGAAAATTTTTTAAATAATTTAATAAACTCGGACAAATGAAAACTTGGATACTTGATTTATCTAAATATTATTATTTATTTATCAAAACTCGGACAACTGAAAACTTGGACAAATGATGTGATCCCGATTAGAAGTATTGTGACTTTTGTCTTATGTTTTCCAGCAACTAATTGGCATATCAGTGACCCAAAGCAGGATATCTCGTATCAGTGGTCAGTTCCCTCAGTCATTGACGTGTCTCAACCTGTCCTCCAATCAGCTCATAGAGATTGACCCTCCTGTGCTCACCAACGTTCCACAGCTTGGCTACCTCGACTTGAGCAATAACAATCTCACCCATGTCCCAAACATCACCTTCCGCAATCCCAAAGCATACTTCTTTATTGATGTTTCAGGTAATGCAATGTACAATTAGACAACTTTAAGTTATTGTTAATAAGTTTTTTTACTGATAACTATAGTATGTTCTTAAAACTCCTATCATCATCTAAAAATACTGTCAATTAATTTTTTATTACTGCTCTGGCCAAGAAATGTTACACACGAGGGAACGAATCTTAATTCATAGTCATTAATACATAGTAAGTCATAGTCATTAGTTCATAGTCGTTAATTCACAGTAGTTTATAGTCTTCAACAAGTTCCATTTTCTGCCAAGCGAGCTATTTTGGATCTGACCAGCATTGTGTACTTTTAGTGATGTATCGGTTCCAAAAGACAGTCCTCATTTCCAACGGTTCTTTGGGAAATAACCGGGATCGAGTACCTTTGGAAAATTGTCGGTTTTTCAGGACGGTTCCATCAACTACTTTACATATTTTTAATTTTTAGTTCTAAAAAGGTTAGTTGTATATTGTTAATTAAATGTTAATTATTACTAGGGGTCTGCGGTAAAGAAAATTTAAGGTCGGTATGAGTACGGTACAATATTTTGTACCTTGGTTCTCAGTACAAAATTGGTACGGTACGCGGCTACTGGTAATTTTGCGTTTTTTTCTCAGAATTGTATCTAAACCATTATGTTAAATTTCAATACATTGACATTACTATGAAAATGGATACTTTAATATTTTGATACTTTTCATTGAAATGGCGACCATACAAAGTAGGTATTTTAAGCCAAGTATGAATGGAGATGACTGTAGGATGAGTGGCGCGATCTTGTAGTCTCGTTTGTGACTAAGGCCGAAATATTCCTGTAGCGTATTCTAAAGGTTTTTTTTGGCAATAATAAAAGTGGACTGTATATGGGATTATTAATTTAATTTTGCAAAACAACAGAAAAAAATGATGGACTTTTGGTTTAGTCAAGGTTACCACACACAAAGTTCTGGAAGGTCTAGATGATGTAGGCCTACAAGTAACTTGTGTTTCTTCTGATAAACTAATCTTCAAAATGACAGTTTTAGAGTTTTTGAATTACACACACACAATTTGATTAAAAAATAAAGCGGTCAGTTGATTATACAAAGATAGAGTTTTGAGTGGAATAATGTAAGAGGAGAAAAGTGAAAATAGGTAGACAAAACTATATGAGGAAGGTAAAATACATTGCACTTGGAACTAGAATGTTTATATTTTTAAATTTGTATTAATGAATTGTTGTGGCCATGTGGGGATTTAAATATGCTCTTTCTCTCTCTCACACATATGCATATGATCAGCTGGCCTTTTAAATACTGAACATACCGGCCTCCATAAAACGATAGTTTTATAACAGTGAACACAACATTGTACAAAAAAACGGAGCCCTGTAGAATATTCTGGATATTATTTACAACTATTTATAGGTCTTTCTAAGTTTTATGGCTTAGTTTTGAGGGAGAGGGATCACTTTAACAACTGGTCTGGTAAGGTAACCGTGTTGAGTCTTCAGATCAACAACCCTGACTTGTCCATCTGTGCCAGGATGCAACTGTGTGACACGGGCTAAGGGCCAGGACAAAGGAGGCGATGAAGAGTGTGTTACATATTAAATAAAAGATGTGTAAAATAAAATAGGTGTATTCTGAAATGAATCCTAAATAACAATGATTGTAAACAAAAACAAAGTTAACTTATTAAGCATAACATATGGTATTTTTTTAAACATACAGTATGTTAGAAAAGAGACATCAATTTTCCCCCTTTAAAGTCTTGACCGCAGCATTTGATCTACATGTCGTCTGCATGTTACTCCGTTCTCCAGTTCAACGTTGTAATGTAGATTTCCATCTCTTGATGTAACTTTTCCGAAACTCCATTTTCTCTGACCCTTGTAGTAGTTTCTCACTTGAACTTGGTCTCCGACCTTAAATATGCGTTTTATACCTTTAGGTTTGTCTTTTGAGTCCTGGATTCTAGAAGGTATCGTAACACTGAGGTATGTTCTTACTTGTCTGTTGAACATGAGATAGTATGCCGAGTTTCCTGTTGAGTTTGGTACTTGACAGAGTTGAATTAACACCTTGTGAATTTTACTGTCAAGTGTTCCTGGTTCATCTAATATCGACTTCAACATCTTCTTCACTGTTTGTACAAAGCGTTCAGCTTGTCCATTAGATGATGGGTGGAACGGAGCAGTCGTTTTGTGTTGAGTTCCACATGACTTAAGAAACTCTTGAAAAGTAAAAGCTCTTGAAGTGAAACTTCTTCCATTGTCTGAAATTAGGAGGCTTGGAAGACCAAAAGTACTAAAAAGTTTCTTCAACTCCTTAATAGTCCAATCGGTAGTTGCTGTTTTTGTAGGTATTACCTCTACCAATTTGGAGAAGGCATCAACAACAATGAAAAATTGTTGTCCATTTGTTGGGCCCATGAAATCTATATGTATTCTCTCCCATGGCTGAGTTGCTGGTTCCCAAGGATGATTGATCTCCTTCGTTGGAGAATTTTGTTTCTCCCGACAAGGCTTGCAAACAGCAATCATGTTTTCGATGTCTTTATCCATTCCTCTCCAAAAGCAGTAACTTCTTGCCAAAGCTTTGGTTTTTTTAGCGAATTTCCCTATAGGGAAGTAGCTATTACCGTAGGTGGCACGGTAAGACCTAGACCCGGGACCGATTTACTTTTTCATTTTGATGTCCCCAGAGGCCAAAAACACTATTCGTTCAAATTTTTATATATGTATATATATATATATATATATTGACTTATATATATATATATAAATATATATATATAGACTTATATATATATATAGACTTATATATATATATATAGACTTATATACAGGGTGTTTTTTTAAAAACTTGCATCTTTATTTATGTAAAAACCGCAATAGATAGAAATATGCAGTTTGCGGGAATCATCTATTGACGTAGGGGGACCAATTGTTTTGAATTCAACATTACATTCACATTCCCCCCCTTTCCCCCCCTGCCCCCAACTTATTTTTTTTAAATAGCAAGGTACCCCTTGTGACATAACAAATAAAAGAGCATAAAAAAAGAAAATGTTTGATGAAAAAAAATTGAAAATCGGTTCATAAATTTGTGAGATATTCCCCCCCTCACCCCCCCGGAAGTTAATTTTTTTTTAATAGCAAAGTACCCCTTGTGACATATCAAATGAAAGAGCATGAAAAAAGAAAATTTTTGGTGAAAAAAAATTTAAAATCGGCTCATGAATTTGTGAGATAATCACCCCCCTTTTCCCCTACCCATAACTTGTTTTTTAATAGCAAGGTACCTGCCCTTGTGACATATCAAATGAAAAATAAATTTCACCAAAATTTTTCTTTTTTCATGCTCTTTCATTTGATATGTCACAAGGGGTACTTTGCTATTAAAAAAAAATAAGTTTCGGGGGGGTGAGGGGGGGAATATCTCACAAATTTATGAACCGATTTTCAATTTTTTTTCATCAAACATTTTCTTTTTTCATGCTCTTTTATTTAATATGTCACAAGGGGTACCTTGCTATTTAAAAAAATTAAGTTGGGGGCAGGGGGGGAAAGGGGGGGAATGTGAATGTAACGTTGAATTCAAAACAATTGGTCCCCCTACGTCAATAGATGATTCCCGCAAACTGCATATTTCTATCTATTGCGGTTTTTACATAAATAAAGATGCAAGTTTTAAAAAAAACACCCTGTATATATATATATATATATAGACTTAACCTTTTTAAAGAGCTTAAAAAAACAAATAATTTAGTATATAAAAGTATTTTTGTTCGATTATTAGTAACGGAGAAAATTAAAAAAATTGTAAATTTAAAATTCCCATGTTATTCTTATGGAGAATATTGTCAAATGTTGTAGTTTGCTTGTTTATGAATATATTTTGATCAAACTTGGCAAATTTATTTATTTTGTACTAAGCTATCAATATTTTACTAAAAAACACACTTTATTAGTTTCCTTGTAGCAGCAAACCTTGGTACTCGTTAAACCTAATGTTATTAAAATATATTTAACTGAAAATCAATTCAGACAAATGGAAATTCGCTTAGTCGGCAGGTTTGCTGCGGCGGGGGTATTTACTATACCAATGTGCCTGTAGTGTAGTTCATTGAGAAGTCTTTTCTTGAGAGAATTTGGGATGATTACTTTCCACCCTTTGAAGAGGCATCCTTCATGTAATGTAACTTCATTATCGTGAAATCCCAATGGCTCTAATGATTCACCCTCCTCAAGAGCCTCCACAATTTGTTTTAGATATGTGTCCTTCTTAGTTTCTTCAGCCAGTTCTTTGGGATTGATAGTTATGGTGTTCAATTGGTTTGTTTGAAAATGTCCAAACTGGTCAATACTTGTAAATTTGGAATCTTCCACAGGAAATCTTGAGAGGAAATCTGCATTGCCATGGTCACCAGTTCTCTTGAATTCAATTGTGTAGTTAAATCCTGACAAAAAATGGGAGTAGTTGAATAGTCGCGTAGCTGACATTAATGGTAGGCTCTTGTTGGGATTGAAGATTGACACTAATGGTTTATGGTCCGTGATGAGTGTGAAATGACGTCCGTAGCAATAAGAAAAAAATTTCTTCAACCCCCAGTATATACCTGTGGCTTCTTTATCGATTTGGCTGTAATGTTTTTCAGCATTGGTCAATGATCTTGAAGCAAAAGCTATAGGCTTTTCACTTCCATCTGGGAAACGATGTGATATCACTGCTCCAAGTCCCACTGGTGAAGCGTCAGTTGCAAGGATCAATGGCAGGTCTGGGTTAAAGTGACAAAGAACTGTGTCACTTGTTATTCTTTTCGTGATGTTTTGGATACCTTCTTCACACTAACTGTCCCATATGAATGACTGCCTTTTTTTTAGAAGTCTATGTAAAGGATTTAAAACAGTGGACAAATTCTTTACAAACCGGTTGTAGTAATTAACAAGCCCTAGGAAAGATCGGAGTTCTTGAATGTTTTGAGGCCTTTGTGCATTTGTAATTGCTGTGATTTTATCCTTACTTTT